ATGTGGTGCTGGGGGATTGAACCGCGGTTCCTGTGCTTTGCTAAGCTTGTTCCAAGTAGGTGCTTTAGACCACTGAGCCATCTCACCAGCCCCTCACATCTGTTTTCATGAGGGATATTGGACTATTCTGCCTCCTCCCAATGGCCCACTGAGGATTGACCCCAGGGCCTTCATACTGAGCTATATCCCCAGTTGCTTTTTTAAATTTTTAGATAGGATTTATCCATGCTGGGCTCAAATTTAGTGATCTTCCTGCCTCCACCTCGTAGTGTACTAGAATTTCAGGTGAGCACCACCCTGCCCCTATAGGCTTTCCTTTTTTTTTTTTTTTTTGGTATTTCAGGGAAGGGTCTATAGGCTGTTCAGGGTCTCACTGCTAAATCAGACTCATAGTCGTCCACCTGTTTACAGCTGGGATCACAGGTGTGCACTACCATGCCCAGTCTCAGTTGCCATCTCAGTGTGCCCCAGGGGCGGGGCCAGCACAGCAGGCCTGGGGAGTGAACCTCGGGCCCCTGTGTCTGCTTCCAGGCACTTTAACCTGCTGAGCTATTTGGCTGGCCCAGGCTTTCCTTTTTGTAATGTCTTTGGTTTGGAAATCAGTTAATGCGGATCTTGTAAAGTAAGTTGGGAAATGTTCCCTCTGGTTTCCTTTCCCATTCATGGCGGGCATCAAACCTAAGGTCTTGTGCAGTCCCTCCTCATATCCTAGAAGAGTTTAGTAGAATTATCATTTTTTTCCTTAAATATTTTGCAGAATTTGCTAGCAAAGACATTTGGGCCTATAGTTTTTCACTTTTGGGTAAATTTTCACTATAAAGACTGGGCCAGGGAGATGGCCTAGTAGAGTAAGTACTTCCCTGGCAAGCCCAAGGGTCTGAGTTCAATCCGCAGTTCACAATAAGTAAAACTCATCAATTTATTTTTTTCTTCATTAAGTTTTTCTAGTTTGTATCTTTTAAGGAATTTCCTCTAAATTATCAAATATGTGGTTATAGAGTTGTTCCTACTAGTCCCGTAACGTCTTTGTAATATCTACAGGACTGTATTGATGTGCCAGCTCAGCCCTCCCTGGGGACAGAGCTGGCATGGCATGTGGTGCCTGGTATCGAACCACAGTCCCTGCGCTTGCCCAAGTTTGCCTAAGCAGATGCTTTAAACCACTGAGCTGTCTCACCAGCCCAGATGTCCCTTTCTCTTTTGCTATTTGTTATTTCTTTCCTCTTCTTTTTCCTATGGTCAGTTTGGTTAGGTGTCTATTAGCTTTATTAATTTCTTCTTAAGAAAAACATTTCTATTAAATTTCCATTTTCTGCTTTTTATTTTGTTCCTTCAGCTTGTTTTTGTTCAATCTCCTCTTCTTTTTCTGATTTATTTGGGAGATGTGGGGTGGTAGTAGGGATTGAACCCAGGGCCTTGCACATGCCACGCAAGCGCTCGACCTCTGAGCGGTACCCCCAGCCCTTGTGTTGTCAATTGTGTCATATCAAATAATCCATTGCCAAACCCAAGATCATAAAGGTTTAACCATGTTTTCTTAAAATAACTTTGTGGGTTTAGTTATCACATTTACATCTTTGATCCATGAGGTATTATTTTCTATTTAAGATAAAGACAACTTCATTCTTTTTCTTTTTCTTTTTTTCCTTTTTTTTTGTGGAACCAGGAATTGAACTCAGGCCCTTGCACTTTCCAGGAAAACACTTATTCTACTGAGCCATCACCCTGGCCCTTCATTCTTTTTCTTGTGACTGTATATTATTTACTCACCGCTTCTTTTTTTTTTTTTTGGCGGAACCAGGGATTGAACTCAGGCCCTTGCGCTTGCCAGGGAAGCGCATATTCCACTGAGCCATCTCCCCAGCCCCTTACTCACTGCTTCTTTAAATGACTGTTTCCTTAGTGGGTGGTCTTGGCAACAACACTAGGGATCTCCAGAGAAACAGCAGATCCAACACGTACACACGCACACACAGAAGTTTACTTTCTGTGGTTTTAGTTATCTGTGTTCCCAAATGCAGGACATTCCAGAAAAAATTCCTAAGTTTAAATTCCCTAATGTTCTAAGTAGCACAGTAAAATCTCGCATTGCTCTGCTTGTAGCCAGAACATGTTGCCCTTCTGCTGAGTGTGTCCACAACTGTGCACATGACCCTACTGTTAAGACACTTAGTAGAGGGCTGGTGAGATGGCTCAGTGGTCTAAAGCACCTACTTAGAACAAGCTTAGCAAAGCACAGGAACCACGGTTCAATCCCCCAGCACCACATGCCAGCCAGCCCCGCCCCCTGGTGGGCTGAGCTGGCCACACACACACACACACACACACACACACAAAATAAATAAATAAATAAATAAACTTAAAAAGAAAAAAAAAAAGACACTTAGTAGACGTCTTGGATATCTGGTTGGCTGTCAGGCAGGGCTTGTGTTCAAGTAACCTTTATTTTACCTGATAGTGGTCCTGGGGAGAAAGAGCAGTCTCGCTGACACTGAGTATTGCAAGAGAAGATGTAAGTGCTTTGAGTGAAAAAGTAGTTTTCTCTCTCTCTCTCTTTTTTTTTTTTGGCGGAACCGGGGATTGAACTCAGATCCTTATGTTTGCTGGTCGAGCGCTTATCCTACTGAGCCATCTCCCCAACCCAACTAAAAAGTAGTTTTCAAATTAATTTAAAAAAAAAAAAAGGCAGGCTGAGTTTGCTTCTGTCCATCTGTAAAAAAAAGGGAAAAAACAAAAATCATGCCAGTTTTACTGTCCCATCGCAAACTGCAGGCATTGCCACCCCAGTGACAACTGTCACTGTCACTTCATCAAAATGGAAAAGGCATTAAGGCATAGGGTTCGGCAGCTGCTGGTGGCCGTGGACGCACTGCCTGTGAAAAAGGGAAGATGGCTGTATTCTGTGGGGGTGAAGCACGCTTTCTTGTAGGCCACACTTTGCGTCTCACCTTCAGGGGGCTGCTGGGACTTGTGTCTGCTCAGGGGTTAGAAGCAAAGCTGGATGATGAGGTGGGTCCTGAGAGAAATCATCGGTGTCTCGTGTGGCAGCTCCTTCAGGGGAGACCACTAGATTCTCAGGCAAAGCAAGGATTATCTTCTTGCTTTCCAATAGGAAATACCACAGATAGAGGCTCTTAAACAACAAAAATGTATTTCCTAGCAGTCTAGAGGCCAGAAGTCCTAGATCAGGGTGGTTCTCTGGCCTGTATCTGGGAACATGGCCACTGATCTGCTCTGCTTTTGGTGATATGTGGCTGAAATTCTGTCCAAGTGTGTCCAGCAAGTTCAGAAGACCTGGTGGAGACTTACATGCTTGTATCAGCCACGATTACGTCATCACAGAGCTGCCTCTCCTCGGCGCTCATTCCAGGACAGCTCAGATCCTTGGCTCACTTGACAGCAGCGGGCCATTTTAAGAGGGTTATGACCTGCTGTCTCTGTGCTTTATTTCATGGATCGGTGTGAGGTGCTGAGGCCCACTTGGTCTGGGCTCTGTGCGCAAGGCGGCCAGCTGGTGTGTGAAGGGAACTGGGACACGTTTAGAATCTTCGTCGCTAACTACCCATATCTAACAAGGACCCTGACAGATACAGCTTTGAGGGACATTCTTCATGGAAAGATGTCCCGTTTCCAGCTATGCTGGGTTATGCTGTGATGACGGCAGGGGCGGGTGGAGGCTGAGGCAGGGGAGCAGGCCCAGGAGTTGCACAGCATGACCCGAGCAGCGTGCAAGGCTTTCCCTGGCGTCAGCGCCCTGAAGCAGCAGTTTGAAGCCAGGGGCAAGAAGCTGGAAGCTTAGTTACTCCAGGGAAGGCACGCAGCTCCTGCAGATGGCAGTCTTCCCACCCTGGTGTGCCCTTTACATAGGCAAGGAGAAAGGACACTGCTGTCCCTTCCTCTTCTTTTGTTAGTACGTATCAGCTACGTAGAGCACTGGCTACAGGCACAGGACACAGTGGGATCATTTGCACCCTCCATTAGCCCCCTTAGCCTTCCCTCTCCCCTCATGGCCTTCTGCTTCTCTAGCAGTCTCCCTTCTACTTGCATGCTCCCCCACCCAAGATTCCACGTGGCAGAGCACACGTAACTTGGTAGGTCTGGTGTATCTCACTTAACATGATGGCCTCCAGTTCCATCTATTTTCCTGCAAAAGACAGGAGTTTATTCTTCTTTATGGCTAATACTCCAATATGAATACATACACATATTATATGTTATATA